GTTGGGGATCCCTCCCCCCAGCACCAACTGCCGCTCTGGGTCAGAGTGTAGAGAGAGGGGTCCAGGGGACAGTTCCACCTTGTCTCCTGCATGTGTCATCAGTTGGGGATCCCTCCCCCCAGCAACAACTGCCGCTCTGGGCCAGTGAAGAGAGAGGGGGCCAGGGGACAGTTCCATCTTGTCTCTTGCATATGTCATCAATTGGGGACCCCTCCCTCCAGCACCAACTGCCGCTCTGAGCCAGAGTGAAGAGAGAGGGGACCAGAGGACAGTTCCACCTTGTCTCCTGCATATGTCATCAATTGGGGACCCCTCCCTCCAGCACCAACTGCCACTCTGGGCCAGAGTGAAGAGAGAGGGGGCCGGGGACAGTTCCACCTTGTCTCCTGCAATTGTCATCAATTGGGGACCCCTCCCTCCAGCACCAACTGCCGCTCTGAGCCAGAGTGAAGAGAGAGGAGGCCAGGGGACAGTTCCATCTTGTCTCCTGCATATGTTATCCATTGGGGACCCTTCCCCACAGCACCAACTGCTGCACTGGGCCAGAGTGAAGAGAAAGGGGGTCAGGGGACAGTTCCACCTTGTCTCCTGCATATGTCATCGATTGGGGACCCCTCCCTCCAGCACCAACTGCCGCTCTGGGTCAGAGTGTAGAGAGAGGGGTCCAGGGGACAGTTCCACCTTGTCTCCTGCATGTGTCATCAGTTGGGGATCCCTCCCCCAGCACCAACTGCTGCTCTGGGCCAGAGTGAAGAGAGAGGGGGCCAGGGGACAGTTCCATCTTGTCTCCTGCATATGTCATCAGTTGGGGACCCCTCCCAGCACCAACTGCCGCTCTGGGCCAGAGTGAAGAGAGAGGGGGCCAGGGGACAGTTCCACCTTGTCTCCTGCATATGTCATCAGTTGGGGACCCCTCCTCACAGCACCAACTGCTGCTCGGGGCCAGAGTGAAGAGAGAGGGGGCCAGGGGACAGTTCCATCTTGTCTCCTGCATATGTCATCAGTTGGGGACCCCTCCCCCCAGCACCAACTGCCGCTCTGGGCCAGAGTGAAGAGAGAGGGGGCCAGGGGACAGTTCCAGCTTGTCTCCTGCATATGTCATCAGTTGGGGACCCCTCCCCCCAGCACCAACTGCCACTCTGGGCCAGAGTGAAGAGATAGGGGGCCAGGGGACAGTTCCACTTGTCTCCTGCATATGTCATCAGTTGGGGACCCCTCCCCAGCACCAACTGCTGCTTGAGGAGTGAAGAGAGAGGGGGCCAGGGGACAGTTCCATCTTGTCTCCTGCATATGTCATCAGTTGAGAACCCTCCCCGCAGCACAAACTGCCACTCTGGGCCAGAGTGAAGAGAGAGGGGCCCAGGGGACAGTTCCATCTTGTCTCCTGCATATGTCATCAGTTGGGGACCCCTCCCCAGCACCAACTGCTGTCCTCTGGGCCAGAGTGAAGAGAGAGGGGGCCAGGGGACAGTTCCATCTTGTCTCCTGCATATGTCATCAGTTGGGGACCCCTCCCCCCAGCAACAACTGCTCTGGGCCAGAGTGAAGAGAGAGGGGGGCCAGGGGACAGTTCCATCTTGTCTCCTGCATATGTCATCAGTTGGGGACCCCCCCCCCAGCACCAACTGCCGCTCTGGCCCAGAGTGAAGAGAGAGGGGGCCAGGGGACAGTTCCATCTTGTCTCCTGCATATGTCATCAGTTGGGGACCCCTCCCCCCAGCAACAGCTGCCGCTCTGGGCCAGAGTGGAGGCCAGGGGACAGTTCCATCTTGTCTCCTGCATATGTCATCAGTTGGGGATCCCTCCCCCCAGCACCAACTGCCGCTCTGGGCCAGAGTGAAGAGAGAGGAGACCAGGGGACAGTTCCATCTTGTCTCCTGCATATGTCATCAGTTGGGGATCCCTCCTCCCAGCACCAACTGCCGCTCTGGGCCACAGTGAAAGGAGGGGAGCAGGGGACAGTTCCATCTTGTCTCCTGAATATGTTATCAATTGGGGACCCTTCCCCACAGCACCAACTGTGCACTGGGCCAGAGTGAAGAGAGAGGAGGCCAGGGGACAGTTCCATCTTGTCTCCTGCATATGTCATCAGTTGGGGACCCCCCCCCCCCAGCTGTGCTCTGGGCCAGAGTGAAGAGAGAGGGGGCCAGGGGACAGTTCCATCTTGTCTCCTGCATATGTTATCCATTGGGGACCCTTCCCCACAGCACCAACTGCTGCACTGGGCCAGAGTGAAGAGAAAGGGGGTCAGGGGACAGTTCCACCTTGTCTCCTGCATATGTCATCAATTGGGGACCCCTCCCTCCAGCACCAACTGCCACTCTGGGCCAGAGTGAAGAGAGAGGGGGCCGGGGACAGTTCCACCTTGTCTCCTGTGCTATGCTAATAATAAAATATAATAAAATATAATGAATATAATGTATTGTATATACATATAATATTTATAATATAATGTAATGTGATATAATACTAATAATATTAAGGTATTTTAATTATCTATTTTATTACATGTAATATTACTAATAATAGTACAATATAGTGGTACAGTACAATATAGTAATATTTAATACTGACATTGTACTATGCCAATAATGTATGTATGTATATATATATATATATATATATATATATATATATATATATCTTGTAAGCCACTCTGAGTCCCCTTTGGGGTGAGAAGGGCGGAATATAAATGTCGTAAGTAAATAAGAAGGGCAACATTCTCCCTTCTACTCTTCCTTCTTCCTTCAAAAGTGCAAGCCACTTTTGCAGTAGCTGAAGGAAGTAAGGACAAAAGGAGGAAAGTGGGAGGTGTGTACAAACCAGGACACTTACATGCTAAAAAGAAGAAAATGAGAATGTAGGGGAGTAATCGGAATTTTCCCTTCCAGATCGGTGTGCGGAAGCCACCTGGATTCTGCATTGGATAGGTATGTTTGAACCGTTGGTGGAAAACCGTTGGTTGGATTACTATTTGTAGTAAGGTACTCACCCGCCTCATAGGAAACCTGCTACAAAACAGGAGCTTTTTTGTTGAGTTCCAGGGCCAGAGAAGCAGATGGCGGAAATAAGAAGAACGTCCTGCCTCAGGGGAGCGTGCTTGCTCCATCCATGTTCAACATCTACACAAATGACCAGCCACTGCCAAAAGGGACAGAGAGTTTCATCTATGCTGATGATTGTGCCATCACCGCTCAAGCAGGGAGCTTTGAGATGGTTGAATAGAAGCTCTCCGAAGCTCTAGGTGCTCTTACTGTCTATTACAGGGAAAACCAACTGATCCCTAACCCATCTAAAACACAGACATGTGCCTTTCACCGTAAGAACAGATAAGCATCCCGAGCTCTGAGGACGACCTGGGAAGGAATCCCACGGGAGGATTGCAGCGCACCCAAATACCTGGGAGTCACTCTGGACCGTGCTCTGACCTATAAGAAGCACTGCCTGAACATCAAGCAAAAAGTGGATGCTAGAAACAATATCATACGAAAGCTGACTGGCACAACCTGGGGATCACAATCAGACACAGTGAAGACATCTGCCCTTGCGCTATGCTACTCTGCTGCTGAGTATGCATGCCCAGTGTGGAACACATCTCACCACACTAAAGCAGTAGATGTGGCTCTTAATGAGACATGTCACATTATCACGGGGTGTCTGCGTCTGTTGCAACCCAGAGCAGGAAACTGGACCCTCAGACAGCAATCCACCACACTTGACTCCAGGAAAACAATCCTTTTTTATTGATCAAGGATGAATACAAAAGAGGAAATATGCAAAGGTAAAAAGCCACAGTAAAAATCAGCAACAAGAAATGTCCATAAACAAAATCATGAAACCCACAGCGAAACTGCTGAATCCTGGAACCTGTTAGCAATCCACTAACCGTACTTGGAACAACTAGAAAACCTCCGAGGAACAAGGCCAATTGAATCAGGAGACCTGCAAAAGTTTGGACATGAATCTGGAACGATGCCTGGTCTGAAGCTGCATTCAGGCCAGGCATACTTAAGGCCGAGAAATCTATTACGAGACACGCCTGAAGTTTTTGTTTGCATTTCTATCTAGCTGACCTACGTAAACTTTGTGCTTCTCCCCGGCTCTGCCAAATCTGCCCCCGCCTATCCTCATTAGGCAGACAAGGTGTCAGATTCTCTGGAGAGAAAAAGGGAGTGAAACTTCTCGGCTCGGAGTGCATGTTCTCATGGCAATCTTGACTTTCATTTTCCAAGGCTGTAGGATTTTCACTACTCAAACCATCATCATCTATATTGGCCTCAGAATTCACATTGACATCTACATTGGCATCAGGTAATACAATCAGAGAATCAGGTTCAGGTTCACACACAGGCTGAACCCCAACAGTGCCCTACACCACTGGAGAAATTACACTGCTTAGCCGGTATAGCACCACCTGACATCCGCCGGGAAGTAGCAGCCAATAGTGAAAGGACCAAGGCAGAGACATCTCCAGCTCATCCCTTGTTCGGATATCAGCCAGCATGTCAACGACTTAAGTATAGAAATAGTTTTCTAAGATCTACAGAGACACTTGCTGGAACACCTCAGCAAGCGAGAGTCCAAAAGTTGCAGGCTCAAACCCAGAACCTCAATCAGTGGCTGAGACCAAATGAGAGACTCCCCCCTGGGCACACAGAAGACTGGGCGACTTGGAAGCCGCTGAACAGACTGCGCTCTGGCACCATTTGTGGCGGAAATGGGGCCACAAAGTGGAATCCACGACATGCGAGTGCGGAGAAGAGCAAACCACTGACCACCTACTGCAATGCAACCTGAGCCCTGCCACATGCACAATGGAGGACCTCCTTGTGGCAACACCAGAAGCACTCCAAGTGGCCAGATACTGGTCAAAGGACATTTAATCAACTACCAAACCTGCAAAATTTGTGGTTTTTTAATTTGTTTGTTTGTTCTGTTCTGTTAGAAATGTAATACAATTGACTGGTTGTCCTGACACGACAAATAAATAAAATAAATACCTTTTTTTTCTCGCAGGGCCTCAGCCTTATAAGGTCCTCATCAGTCAGGACACCGACTGTTTTCTGAGAACTCTCGCAGGGCATTACCGGGGGAATTTCTGATAGTGAATCGGATGTGAAATCAAGATCGGGTATCCCCATCGCCGTTTCAACCTTGCGGAGGCATTTGAGGTAGTCCGTGGACTTGTAAAACACCACCGGCTTTGCAGTGACCTTATCTATATGCTGGTTCTTCACGTCCGGCTTCACGGCGCACAGTTCTTTGCTGACCGGGTTCTGGCAGTCCTGTCCCGAGTGGGCCCCACCGAAGCGGCAGGCGATCCCAAATCGGCACTTGCCGAACAGCGAGAAGAGAATGCAGCAGTCTCCAATGTCCGGCGGCTTGGTGGCAATGTACTTCTCGAGATTGTGCTGCCAGGGACACTCAGAGCCAAACAAACACTTCTCACCCTTAAACGAGAGGAAGATGCAGTGAGGTCACATCTACTACCTTCTACAAACATATAATCATAGAACGATAGAGTTGGAAGAGATTATCATAGAATCAAAGAGTTGGAAGAGACCTCATGGGCCATCCAGTCCAACCCCTTTCTGCCAAGAAGCAGGAATATTGCATTCAAATCACCCCTGACAGATGGCCATCCAGCCTCTGTTTAAAAGCTTCCAAAGAAGGAGCCTCCACCACTCCGGGGCAGAGAGTTCCACTGCTGAACGGCTCTCACAGTCAGGAAGTTCTTCCTCGTGTTCAGATGGAATCTCCTCTCTTGTAGTTTGAAGCCATTGTTCCCTTGCGTCCTAGTCTCCAAGGAAGCAGAAAACAAGCTTGCTCCCTCCTCCCTGTGGCTTCCTCTCACATATTTATACATGGCCCTCATCATATCTCCTCTCAGCCTTCTCTTCTTCAGGCTAAACATGCCCAGCTCCTTAAGCCGCTCCTCATAGGGCACTGCAGACTCCTTCAACCAGAGAAGTCAGCCATAGCAGAGCACCTGATGAACCAGCCTGGACACAGCATATTATTTGAGAACACAGAAATGCTGGACCACACCAACAACCACCATGTCAGACTACACAGAGAAGCCACTGGAATCCACAAGCATGTGGACAATTTCAACAGAAAGGAAGAGACCATGAAAATGAACAAAATCTGGCTACCAGTATAAAAAAACTCTAAAATTACAACAGCAAAACAGCAGAGAGGAAACAACCAGGCACATCTTAACACCTCTCAACAAAAGATTTTCCCAGGCTCAGCCAGGCCTTCAAATGCTAATGAAGGTGGTCAGTTGAAACATTCACACCTAGCTCCAGCAGAGAAGAGCTCTTTGCCCCACCCCAGCCATTCCACTGATATATAAACCCATTGTCCTATTTCCAACAGACCTCACTACCTCTGAGGATGCTTGCCATAGATGCAGGCGAAACGTCAGGAGAAATGCCTCTAGAACATGGCCCTATAGCCTGAAAAAACCCACAAGAATCTAGGATTCCAGCCATGAAAGCCTTCGACAATTCATAGTATTATTATTTTTATTATTATTATTATTTGAAACAGTTAAAATAAATAAACCAATCAAGTAAATAAACTGTACAAAATAACATAATGGAAAATCAAACACAGTGGACGGCCAAATACACTCTGGATGAGAAAGCAACGAAAAAAGGTACATTTGTGGGGGAGGAGTTCGTGGGGACTGAACAATGCATGCGCAAAACCACACACATATATGCAAACACACATATTTACACAAATATATAGACACACATATAGGCACACAAAACACATATACACAGACTGGGCCACAGCAACACGTGGCAGGGGGCGGCTAGTCGATATAAATAAAAATGCAATGTTTGTTTGTGGGATTAACAGAACTCAAAAACCACTGGACGAATTGACACCAAATTTGGACCCATGACACTTCTCAGGCCAACGAGTGACCATCACACATAAAAACACTGAAAACACAGCAGAAAGGATTTAAAAGCCAAAAACTAAAAACCAAAAATTATATTACAATGCATGCGCAAAACCACGCGTTCATATGTTGTTGTTCATTCGTTCAGTCGTCTCCGACTCTTCGTGACCTCATGGACCAGCCCACGCCAGAGCTCCCTGTTGGCCGTCACCACCCCCAGCTCCTTCAAGGTCAGTCCAGTCACTTCAAGGATGCCATCCATCCATCTTGCCCTTGGTCGGCCCCTCTTCCTTTTGCCTTCCACTTTCCCCAGCATCATTCCCTTCTCTAGGCTTGGCTGTCTCCTCATGATGTGGCCAAAGGACTTCAACTTGGTCTCTCGTCTCCTTCCCTCCAGTGAGCAGCCGGGCTTTCTTTCCTGGAGGATGGACTGGTTGGATCTTCTCGCAGTCCAAGGCACTCTCAGCACTTTCCTCCAACACCACAGCTCAAAAGCGCCTCTCTTCCTTCGCTCAGCCTTCCCTGAGGTCCAGCTCTCACATCCGTAGGTGACTACAGGGAATACCACGGTTTTGACTAGGCAATGGATCTTGGTTGCCAGTCTGATGTCTCTACTCTTGACTATTTGATCGAGACTGGACATTGCTCTCCTCCCAAGAAGGAAGCGTCTTCTGATTTCCTGGCCACAGTCTGCATCTGCAGTCATCTTTGCGCCTAGAAATACAAAGTCTGTCATGGCCTCCACATTTTCTCCCTCTATTTCCCAGTTGTCAGTAATTCTTGTTGCCATAATCTTGGTTTTTTGGAAGTTTCGCTGCAACCCGGCTTTTGCACTTTCTTCTTTCACCTTGATTAGAAGGCTCCTCAGCTCCTCCTCGCTTTCGGCCATCAGAGTGGTGTCATCTGCATATCTGAGGTTGTTAACGTTTCTTCCAGCCATTTTCACCCCAGCTTTGCATTCCTCCAGCCCCGCACATCCTCGCATTATGTGTTCTGCATACAAGTTAAAGAGGTTGGGTGAGAGGACGCAGCCTTGCCGGACGCCTTTCCCAATCTTGAACCCGTCTCCTGTTCCGTGGTCAGTTCTGACTGTGGCTCCTTGGTCCTTGTACAGATTCCTCAGGAGAGAGGGAAGGGGGCTTGGGGGCCCATCCCACCAAGAACTTGCCACCATTTATGATGATCCACACAGTCAAAGGCTTTAGAGTAGTCAATGAAGCATTCATATACACACACACAAAACACATATACACAGACTGGGCCACAGCAACACGTGGCAGGGGGCGGCTAGTCGATATAAATAAAAATGCAATGTTTGTTTGTGGGATTAACAGAACTCAAAAACCACTGGACGAATTGACACCAAATTTGGACCCATGACACTTCTCAGGCCAACGAGTGACCATCACACATAAAAACACTGAAAACACAGCAGAAGGGATTTAAAAGCCAAAAACTAAAAACCAAAAATTATATTACAATGCATGCGCAAAACCAGGCGTTCATATACACACACACAAAACACATATACACAGACTGGGCCACAGCAATGCATGGCAGGGGACAGCTAGTTCATAATAAAATGGTTTAAAACTGGAAGCTGGAATGTGTCCAGAGGAGGGCGACTAAAATGATCAAGGGTCTGAAGAACAAGCCCTATGAGGAGCGGCTTAAGGGGCTGGGCATGTTTAGCCTGAAGAAGAGAAGGCTGAGAGGAGATATGATAGCCATGTATAAATATGTGAGAGGAAGCCACAGGGAGGAGGGCAGATCAAGGGTCTGGAGAACAAGCCCTATGAGGAGCGGCTGAAGGAGCTGGGCATGTTTAGCCTGAAGAAGAGAAGGCTGAGAGGAGACATGATAGCCATGTATAAATATGTGAGAGGAAGCCACAGGGAGGAGGAGGCATGATCAAGGGTCTGGAGAACAAGCCCTATGAGGAGTGGCTTAAAGGTCTGGGCATGTTTAGCCTGAAGAAAGAAGGCTGAGAGGAGACATGATAGCCATGTCTAAATATGTGAGAGGAAGTCATAGGGAGGAGGGATCAAGCTTGTTTTCTGCTACCCTGGAGACAAGGATCGGAACAATGGCTTCAAACTACAAGAGAGGAGATTCCATCTGAACATTAGGAAGAACTTCCTGACTATGAGAGCCGTTCAGCAGTGGTACCTTTCCAGAAAAGTACCAGAAAAAAAAAAGTTTCAAAACGATGCCGGGTGATTCATCCGTGCAAACTTTACCGTGAAGCAGAGATTGCCCGATTGGCGAGATCTCTTGCTTGTTTCCGGCTGGGCGGAAGACAACTTCAACGGTTGGGCTGGAGGTGCTCCCGGCTCCAAGCTCTCGGGTACATCTGCCTCTGGAGAGGATCTCCTGGAAGAGAAGAGGGTTAGGATCTTCAAGTTGGAAAGGAGCCTCAAGGGCCATCCAGTCCGACCCCATTCTGCCAGGCGGGAAGACACAATTAAAGCTTTAAAATCCCTAAGAAAGGAAGCTCCATCACACAAATGAATATCCTGAATATCTCTTACTGTCAGGAAGTTCTTCCTAATGTTTAGGTGTGCTGCTTGTTGCAGAAAAAAACAAAATGCAAAGATACAGAATGGGGGACAATGCCTGGCTCAGGAGCAGTACGTGTGAAAAAGATCTTGGAGTCCTCATGGACAACAAGTTAAACATGAGCCAACAATGTGATGAGGCGGCAAAAATGGGATTTTGGCCTGCATCAAGAGGAGCATGGTGTCTAGATCTAGGGAAGTAATGTCAGTGTGTATTTCATGTATGATGTATGTTTAAATGTAATTTTATGGAGGAGAATAGTGATTGTAATAGATTTGTATGGCCAGGATGTATGTCTACACGGAAGAGTTAAACAGCAAATGAATCAAGCTGTGAGAATGTGACCCTGAGTTCATGCTGTGTGAAGAATTAGGGAGTGTCAGGGATAACTCCTTTCCAGCTGCAGTTTGCCTTTAGTGCCTATCTCTTTCGCTTTGTGTTCTTCACGTCTGTTTCGCTGATGGTGTGTGTTGGATTTATGAACTGCTCAAGTAAAGCTGAAACCTGCTTTTTACCGGTGACTCCAGTCCATTATTCTTAGCTTCCACGATACTTCTGCTAGCGCTAACAAGTAATGCTAACCCTCTATTCCGCTTTGGTTAGACCACACCTGGAATATTGTGTCCAATTCTGGGCACCACAATTCAAGAGAGATATTGACAAGCTGGAATGTGTCCAGAAGAGGGCGACTAAAATGATCAAGGGTCTAGAGAACAAGCCCTATGAGGAACGGCTTAAGGAGTTGGGCATGTTTAGCCTGAAGAAGAGACGGCTGAGAGGAGATATAGCCTTGGGGCTCCTTTCGAGTTGGAAAGGAGCCCCAAGGGCCATTCAGTCCGACCCCATTCTGCCAGGCAGGAAGACACAATCAAAACACCCTTGGCAGGTGGCCATCTAACCTAAGCTTAAAAATCCCTAGAAAAGGGAGCTCCATCATGCAAATCCCAATCATGAATTTATTTATTTATTTATTTACGACACTGATATGCCGCCCTTCTCACCTTGAAGGGGACTCAGAGTGGCTTACAAGATATATCTACGTACAATATATTATACTATTAGTGTGCCGTCGCGCCTGGGGGCTATAACTCTTAATGAGAGAGGCATGGGCGTGGCATCTTTCCCCAGGGGATTGCTTCTTGCCCTTCTATAGGAAACTGGAACTCCCAAAGACCAAAACACAACAGATAACTCGAAATGGCAGTTATTGTTCACATTGAGTTAACTTTCTCAGGCATAAGCTTGATGTTTCAACAGGGATAAAGGAAATATACTTTACAATCTCTGAAGTCCAAGGAGTTTGCAGCTGAGAAGCTTTTCCTGTTTCCTCTTTCCTCAATGGCTGTGAATATCGGAACAAACACAACCCCAGTCCAATGGCCTATGTTGAAGGGACAAGACCTTCCTCTGGTGCCAAAAGAACCTGTTTGAAGATACTTGGGTCTCCTCAATGTTGTCCAGGACGATCTGGACATAAAGCATGAGTCCCAAGCATAAAAAACCTTAAAATTGGTGCTGAGAGGTAATTTAATCAGGGTCTTTTAGAACCAGGTCTCTTACTCATGTCCATCTGATAGAAACTCTGATGGCAGAATGAAAAAGGGAAGCACTCCCCTCCTCCAGGAAGAGGTGGAGCCAAATAATTGAGCTTGAGAAAGCCATTCAACTGGTGCAAACAACACTGATTGACAGCTATAAATAACCAATCAATCCAACTATACATAAGCAGGGTAAAAAGGCAGGATTAAGCATGATGGAAGGCAAAAGGAAGAGGGGCCGACCAAGGGCAAGATGGATGGATGGCATCCTTGAAGTGACTGGACTGAACTTGAAGGAGCTGGGGGTGGTGACAGCCGACAGGGAGCTCTGGCGTGGGCTGGTCCATAAGGTCACGAAGAGTCGGAGACGACTGAACGAATGAACAACAACAAAGCATGATACAAAAGTTTAAATCTTGCAACTAACAGTTCTATACATAAGTGGCGCCACTCGCGCCGTCACAATTGGCATAGTACAATATCAGTATTAAATATTACTATATTGTACTATACCATTATATTGTAATATTATTAGTAATATTACATGAAATATAAATACATAACTATAATATCATGTTATTATTACTATTACATTGCATTACATTATCTATATAAATAAAAAAATGTAATGTTCGTTTGTGGGATTTACAGAACTCAAAAACCTCTGGACGAATTGACACAGAATTTGGACACAAGACACCCAACAACCCAATGCACGTCCTTCACTCAAAAATTTTTGATTTTGTGATTTGGGAGTTGTAGTTGCTGGGATTTATAGTTCACCTACAATCAAAGAGCATTCTGAACTCCACCAATGATGGAATTGAACCAAACGTGGCACGCAGGACTCCCCTGACCAACAGAAAACACTAGAAGGGTTTGATGGGCATTGACTTTGAGTTTTGGAGTTGTAGTTCGCCTACATCCAGAGAGCACTGTGGACACAAACAATGATGGATTTGGACCAAATTTGGCATGAATACTCAATATGCCCAAATGTGAACACTGATTGAGTTTGGGGAATCATAGAATCAGCAGTGGAACTCTCTGCCCCGGAGTGTGGTGGAGGCTCCTTCTTTGGAAGCTTTTAAACAGAGGCTGGATGGCCATCTGTCAGGGGTGATTTGAATGCAATATTCCTGCTTCTTGGCAGAATGGGGTTGGACTGGATGGCCCAGGAGGTCTCTTCCAACTCTTTGATTCTATGATTCTATGAAAGAGGCTGAGACAGTGGCACCTTTTGCTTTCTGATGGCTTAATTAACCAATTCACACAAAATCCCAATTAGGGCCAGGGTTATGTCTAGATGAGGTGTCAATGAAGCTTCTAAGAGGCTGGAGATGCAAATATCTCCCAATCTCAAAGACTTCTGGCCCCAAGCTTACTCTGCAGCCACATTCTGGGGAAAGAAAACTACTTCTACTTACTGAGATGCCTTGGGGGGCTCCCCAGAGGCCTCCATTTCCCGGAAGAAGAGCTCTCTTCCCTCCAAATCCTTTCCTTACTTCATTTCCTTCCACTTGGAGGAACAAGACGATAGATTTCGCTGGGCTAGAGGCGCCTTTAGTCTCAGTTCCGGTACAAACCGGAAGTGCAAAAGGTAAATAAAGTCTCAAAGTGGCTTCCCTGAGCTCACGTGCGGCCCAAACCGGAAGTGCGCTCTAGCCGTTGATTGGCCGGAGGGAGGCATAGAAGGGGCGGGGCTTAGGGTTTAAAGAGACAGAGGCCCCTTTTCAAACTTGGTTCTCTCCTTGCTATTAAATATTTCATGCTTATTGAACTTAAATGATATTTGTCTTTTCTAATGTAATGCAAATCCTATATAAATCCATACCATGTATTTTTGACATTAATATTGAAATATATACAGAAACCTAAAGTCAATTTTAATTTGTAATCTATATATGCATAATCTCTATCTGTATATATTATTTATTCTCCATCTTCATCGCTATGATACTTCACCTTGTTGATGGGAAGCTTCCCACTGGAGTGGAAATCATCTATCGGACAGATGGCAAGCCAAAATGTTATAGAACTCCAATATGCTGATGATACCGTAGTCTGTGCGCATTCAGAAGAAGACCTCCGAGCCACTCTAAACACCTTCACAGAAGCATATGAGAAGCTCAGCCTGTCATTGAACATTGAGAAAGCCAAAGTGCTCTTCCGGCAGTCACCAGCCCATCCCTCACAATAACATGTTATAGAACTCTAATATGCCGATGATACCGTAGTCTGTGCGCATTCAGAAGAAGACCTCCAAGCCACTCTAAACACCTTCGCAGAAGCATATGAGAAGCTCAGCCTGTCATTGAACAATGAGAAAGCCAAAGTGCTCTTCCAGCAGTCACCAGCCCATCCCTCACAATAACATGTTATAGAACTCTAATATGCCGATGGTACCGTAGTCTGTGCGCATTCAGAAGAAGACCTCCAAGCTACTCTAAACACCTTCGCAGAAGCATACGAGAAGCTCAGCCTGTCATTGAACATTGAGAAAGCCAAAGTGCTCTTCCGGCAGTCACCAGCCCATCCCTCACAATAACATGTTATAGAACTCTAATATGCTGATGATACCATAGTCTGTGCGCATTCAGAAAAAAATATTTGTTTATTTCTTTATTTCCGGTATTTCTTCCCCATTCCTTCTCAACTCAGGATGGCTTACATTTGGCAACAATTCGACGCCACACATATAACAGCAATTAAAGCAATAAATGAAACATTAATTGAAAACAGTATTAACAGCTGTATCACCATTCCAGTCGATTTCCAAATCTTTTCTAATGTAATGCAAATCCTATGTTAAATCATGCTACGTATTTTTTGACATTAATATTGAACTCTGAAATATATACAGAAACCTATAGTCAATTTTAATTTTTAATCTATATGTCTATATGCATATATATATATATATATATATATATATATATATATTCCAAGTCGCCCCGTCTTCTGTATGCCCAGGGGGGAGTCTCTCACTTGGTATCGGTTCTGGGTTTGAGCCTGCCACTTTTTGACTCTCGCTTGCTGAGGTGTTCCAGCGAGTGTCTCTGTAGATCTTAGAAAACTATTTCTTGATTTAAGTCGTTGACGTGCTGGCTGATACCCAAACAGGGGATGAGCTGGAGATGTCTCTGCCTTGGTCCTTTCACTATTGGCTGCTACTTCCCGGCGGATATCATGTGGTGCGATACTGGCTAGACAGTGTAATTTCTCCAGTGGTGTAGGGCACAGAAACCTCGTGATAATGCGACATGTCTCATTGCAGCAGGTGGTCAGTGGTTTGCTCCTCTCCACACTCACATGTCATGGATTCGACTTTGTAGCCCCATTTCTGAATGTTGGCTCTGCATCTCGTGGTGCCAGAGCGCAGTCTGTTCAGCGCCCTCCAAGTCGCCCAGTCTTCTGTGTGCCCAGGGGGGAGTCTCTCATTTGGTATCAGCCATTGTTTGAGCCTGCCACTTTTGGACTCTCGCTTGCTGAGGTGTTCCAGCGAGTGTAGATCTTAGAAAACTATTTCTAGATTTAAGTCATTGATGTGCTGGCTGATACCCAAACAGGGGATGAGCTGGAGATGTCTCTGCCTTGGTCCTTTCACTATTGGCTGCTACTTCCCGGCGGATGTCAGGTGGAGCAATACCGGCTAAGCAGTGTAATTTCTCCAGTGGTGTAGGGCGCAGACACCTGTGATAATGGGAATGTCTCATTAAGAGCCACATCCACTGTTTTAGTGTGGTGAGATGTGTTCCACACTGGGCATGCATACTCAGCAGCAGAGTAGCATAGCGCAAGGGCAGATGTCTTCACTGTGTCTGGTTGTGATCCCCAGGTTGTGCCAGTCAGCTTTTGTATGATATTGTTTCTAGCACCCACTTTTTTGCTTGATGTTCAGGCAGTGCTTCTTGTAGGTAAGAGCACGGTCCAGAGTGACTCCCAGGTATTTGGGTGCGCTGCAATGCTCCAGTGGGATTCCTTCCCAGGTCATCCTCAGAGCTCAGGATGCTTGTCTGTTCTTAAGGTGAAAAGCACATGTCTGTGTTTTAGATGGGTTGGGGATCAGCTGGTTTTCCTTGTAATAGGCAGTAAGAGCACGTAGAGCTTCGGAGAGCTTCTGTTCTACCATCTCAAAGCTCCCTGCTTAAGTGGTGATGGCACAATCATCAGCATAGATGAAACTCTCTGTCCCTTCTGGCAGTGGCTGGTCATTTGTGTAGATGTTGAACATGGATGGAGCAAGCACGCTCCCCTGAGGCAGGCCGTTCTTCTGTTTCCGCCATCTGCTTCTCTGGCCCTGGAACTCAACAAAGAAGCTCCTGTTTTGTAGCAGGTTTCCTATGAGGCAGGTGAGGTGGTCGTCCTTTGTGATGTTATACATTTTTCTCAGAAGGGAGCGGTGGTTCACAGTATCATAAGCCGCTGACAGGTCTATGAAGACAGCTCCTGTGATCTGCTGCCTTTCAAAGCCATCTTCTATGTGCTGAGTCAGGTTCAGCACTTGCAATGTGCAGCTTCTGCCTTTCCTGAAGCCAGCTTGCTGTGGGATCAGACAGGGGTCTATTTTTTCCATAATTCTATGCAAAATAAGTCTCTCCAGAACTTTGTAGAGGTGGCACAACAGGGAGATGCGTCTGTAGCTTTTTGGATCATTAAGGTCTTTGCCTGGCTTCAAGATGGCGATGACTCTTGCTTTCCTCCAGATTTTGGGGATCTGACAGAATGCAGTGCAGTTGTTTATCAGCTCCAGCAGCCAGCGCCTTGCTTTTGGGCCAAAGTTCTTGATTTGTTCCATCCGTAGATCATCCAGGCCAGTTGCTTTGCCATTTTTATATTTATTGAGAGCCATGTCAAATTCAGTAGATGTAAAGGGTTCATGAAGGTTGTTGTTCTCAATCTCTTGTTGTCTGGCTATTGGTTTCTTTCCTACTTTGGTGGCAAAGTTGGGTTTCCCATTCTTCAAGAGTTATATATATATGATCTCTATCTGTATATATTATTTATACACTATATATTCTTATTAGGGGAGTGGGGGAAACATGGCAAGAAGCATCTTTTTTCTGTTGGAAACGTGGGGTGCGTCTACATTGCAGAATTCAGTTGGAGACCGCTTTAACATCAATATTATGGGATCTTGGGAGATGTAGATTGGCTCATAAAGGTCTTATAGAACTTCAACTCTCATGATCCCATAGCCTCGTGCCAGGGCAGTTGAAGTGGTATCAAGCTGCATGACTTCTGTAGTGTAGATGTATCCAAAACCAGCCTGTATTTTTTTTTATTATGGCATATATTATTATGGCATATAAAAATACTGTACTGTTTACCCACAAGCAGAAAGAAATCACATATATTAGAAACCAACACTTTCTCATTACTTTATTTTCCAGATCACCAGACTGGGCCACAGCAATGACTGGCAGGGGACGGGTAGTGTAATAGAAATATATAATTATAATATCATATTATTCGTAGTGTTAGAGCCCCTAAATTGGGTCTTCTTAGGTCCACATCGCGGGAGCACGAAACGAAGGAGGCAGTCCCAGAAAAAGATAAAAAAACAAGGTTTATTTTAGTTTCTTCATGAAGAAGATGGACAGCCTGACAGCATACGCAGATGCTACCCTTCAAGTGACTGCCGCATCCCCTTGGCTTTTTGACCACTGATATATAACCTCAAGTAAACAAGAACATTTTTTTGTCATGGAAAGTACTCTCTTTCCAGCCCCCTCCCTTGACCTTTTGATGGAAAGTACCTTCTTGTACCTGCAGACTCTACGCTTAACAACCTTTGAACTTAACCACAATACAACTTCCAATACAACCACAATACAACTTCTACATGTCACATCTTGTTTCTTAAAAACATTTTCTTCCGTGTTGCCCTTTTTCTACAGACCTTTTGATGGAAAGTACCTTCTTGTACATGCAGACTCTGCACTATATTACAACCTTTGAAGTTAACCATAACACATCCTGTGTAAGAAAGTACCTTCTACATGTCACATCTTGTTTCTTAAAAACATTTTCTTCCGTGTTGCCCTTTTTCTACAGACCTTTTGATGGAAAGTACCTTCTTGTACATGCAGACTCTGCACTATATTACAACCTTTGAAGTTAACCATAACACATCCTGTGTAAGAAAGTCTTCTACATGTCACATCTTGTTTCTTAAAAACATTTTCTTCCGTGTTGCCCTTTTTCTACAGACCTTTTGATGGAAAGTACCTTCTTGTACATGCAGACTCTGCACTATATTACAACCTTTGAAGTTAACCATAACACATCCTGTGTAAGAAAGTACCTTCTACATGTCACATCTTGTTTCTTAAAAACATTTTCTTCCGTGTTGCCCTTTTTCTACAGACCTTTTGATGGAAAGTACCTTCTTGTACATGCAGACTCTGCACTATATTACAACCTTTGAAGTTAACCATAACACACCCTGTGTAAGAAAGTACCTTCTACATGTCACGTCTTGTTTCTTAAAAACATTTTCTTCCGTGTTGCCCTTTTTCTACAGACCTTTTGATGGAAAGTACCTTCTTGTACATGCAGACTCTGCACTATATTACAACCTTTGAAGTTAAGCATAACACATCCTGTGTAAGAAAGTACCTTCTACATGTCACATCTTGTTTCTTAAAAACATTTTCTTCCGTGTTGCCCTTTTTCTACAGACCTTTTGATGGAAAGTACCTTCTTGTACATGCAGACTCTGCACTATATTACAACCTTTGAAGTTAACCATAACACACCCTGTGTAAGAAAGTACCTTCTACATGTCACATCTTGTTTCTTAAAAACATTTTCTTCCGTGTTGCCCTTTTTCTACAGAGGAAGGGTATATTTCTCTTTTGCTGTTAATTTCATTCAAAATGCTTAGCGTTTGCAAATTTCACCCAAAGACCCTTTCAGTAGTAGTATTATAGTGCATTATATTATAACATTATGCATTATTTCTGCAGAGTAGATGCACCCAAAAACAGTCTGTATTTGTATTTCATTTTGGGAAGTCGGATCTGGCCACGGTGGTCCACGCTCTTGTTACATCCCGATTAGATTACTGCAACGCACTCTACGTGGGGTTGCCTTTGAAGACTGCTCGGAAACTCCAACTAGTCCAGCGGGAGGCAGCCAGACTGCTGACCGGGGCGTCATACAGGGAGCATACCACCCCCCTGTCGTGTCAGCTCCACTGGCTGCCGATCCAGTTCCAAGCACAATTCAAAGTGCTGGTTTTGACCTACAAAACCCTATACGGTTCCGGCCCAGTGTATCTGTCAGAACGTATCTCCCTCTACGTCCCACCCCGGAGCCTAAGATCCTCTGGGGAGGCCCTGCTCTCAACCCCGGCTCTATCACAAGTGAGATTGGCGGGGACGAGGAGCAGGGCCTTCTCGGTGGTGGCCCCCCGCCTGTGGAATTCACTCCCCGGGGAAATTAGATCTGCAACATCGCTCCTTTCCTTCAGGAGAACACTAAAAACATGGATTTGGGATCAGGCATTTGGACAATCGGGCAGATAAAGAAAGAACTTTGATGATGACTAGGAAACGATTAATGGATTGGATCTATGGAACTCTGGAAAACGAAACGCTGGTTATGAGAATGGTTTTATATGATGTTTTATATCAGTGGTTCTCAACCTTCCTAATGCCGCGACCCCTTAGTACAGGTCCTCATGTGGTGGTGACCCCCAACCATAACGTTATTTTCGTTGCTACTTCATAACTGTAATTTTGCTACTGTTAAGAGTCATAATGTAAATATGCAGGATGTATTTTCATTCACTGGACCAAATTTAGCACAAATACCTGATATGCCCAAAATTTGAATACTGGTGGAATTGGGGGTGATCGATTTTGTCATTTGGTAATGCTGAAGTTGCTGGGATTTATAAAGGTAAAGGTAAAGATAGTCCCCTGACACTAAGTCCAGTCATGTCTGACTCTGGGGTGTGGTGCTCATCTCCATTTCTAAGCCGAAGAGCCAGCGTTGTCCGTAGACACCTCCAAGATCATGTGGCTGGCATGACTGCATGGAGCGCCGTTACCTTCCCGCCGGAGCGGTACCTATTTATCTACTCACATTTGCATGTTTTCGAACTGCTAGGTTGGCAGAAGCTGGGATTTATAGTTCACCTTAAATCAAAGAGCCTTCTGAACTCCGTCAATGATGGAATTGAATCAAACTAGGCACACAGAATTCCCATGACCAAGAGAAAATACTGGTGGACATTGACCTTGAGTTTTTGGAGTTGTAGTTCACCTACATCCAGAGAACACTGTGGACTCAAGCAATGATGGATCTGGATCAAACTTGGCACAAATACTCAATATTCCCAAATGTGAACACTGGTAGAGTTTGGAGAAAATAGACCTTGCCATTTGGGAGTTGTAGTTGTTGGGATTTATAGTTCACCCACAATGAAATAGCATTCTGAACCCCACCAACGATAGAATTGGACCAAACGTTCCACGCAGAACCCCCATGACCAACAGAAAATACTATGTTTTCTGATGGTCTTTGGCGACTCCTCTGACACCCCCTCGCGACCCCCCCAGGGGTCCCGACCCCCAGGTTGTGAAACACTGTTTTTTATGATGTGTTATGTACTGGTTGTTTGATTGTTTTCATTGTGACAACTGTTTTTAACTACGTTTTTGCATATTATGTGTAAGTTGTACAGGCATCGAATTGTTGAGAAGGGCAAGGTAAAAGCACCAGAAATAATTAAGTAATTATATAAATTTCATTTTATTTATTATTATGGCATATCTTTCTATTTGTCCTTGGCACTTTTTGGCAGATCTCACAATCATCTCTTTTTCCAACCAGTGTTTGCTTTGGCTTTAAGGGTGATTGAACGGACCGTAATGCCACTTCCAATGCTGTGGCCCAATACTGTGGACTCTTAGGGTGTGTAGTTGCACATAGCCGTGAGCCTTTTCCGCCGAAGGGAGTTGCAAACCCCAGGATCCCATAGCTCTGAGCCGTGGGAGTTCCAAACCGCATTCATTCTGCAGTGTAGACCCATCGCCTTTTGACCTTCAGCAAATGTAGTTGAAGAACAGCCGGATTTGGCTCCAAACCACATCGCCCCCGGGGTGGACCTGGTTGGAACCGTAGGCGATGGTCATGTCCCAGGCGTCGACGAAGGCCACTCGCAGACCTTTAAAAATCTCCCGTAGGACGAGGTTCTGAGCAAAGCCATGGAAGTCCCCCAAACGCTCAACATCCGTGTCCAGCTCCCGAGTGTTTTCTCCCTTGATGACCACTTTCGTTTCGGGGCTCCTCAAAAGAAGGCGCTGGACGGCCTCCCGGATGTTGATCATCCGCCGAATAAAAATCTGGATGGGGAAAGGGCGGAAGTGTTGCCCGAAGGCCAGGACCAGGACCGTTCTGGCATCCCCCGCTATGCGGTCGATCTCTCGGGTCACGTAGCCGTGGCCCTTCGTCGTGTATTCCTGGGCACTGAGAAACGGGTGGTTGTGCTTGATCCACCTGATTTGGATGTTTGCGCCCAGGTCCACCGCCATCATGTTCTGGTGGTTTCCAACTCCATGGGTGTCGAGGTATTGAAACCCTGTGATGAGAAGAGACACAACATCAAGGCAAGCCATGAAAGTGACGAAACCGCAAGTCCAAAATACCCTCTTCCAGGTATTTTGGACTTCGGCGGCTGTTAGGAATTGTGGGAGGGGAGGGCCATAGTTTACCCATGCTTCCAATAAAGGTATTGAAGGATGCTAAGCAAGGGGCTTTGAATGAAATTAACAACAAAATAGAAGTATACCCTTTCTAAATGTTTTTAAGAAACAAGATGTGACATGTAGAAGATACTTTCTTACGCAGGATGTGTTATGGTTAACTTCAAAGGTTGTAATATAGTGCAGAGTCTGCATGTACAAGAAGGTACTTTCCATCAAAAGGTATGTAGAAAAAGGGCAACACAGAAGAAAATGTTTTTAAGAAACAAGATGTGACATGTAGAAGATACTTTCTTACACAGGATGTGTTATGGTTAACTTCAAAGGTTGTAATATAGTGCAGAGTCTGCATGTACAAGAAGGTACTTTCCATCAAAAGGTCTGTAGAAAAAGGGCAACACGGAAGAAAATGTTTTTAAGAAACAAGATGTGACATGTAGAAGATACTTTCTTACGCAGGATGTGTTATGGTTAACTTCAAAGGTTGTAATATAGTGCAGAGTCCGCATGTACAAGAAGGTACTCTCCATCAAAAGGTCAAGGGAGAGGGGCTGGAAAGAGAGTCACATCTTGTTTCTTAAAAACATTTTCTTCCATATTGCTCTTTTTTTACAGACACCAAAGGTCATCCAGACCTGCCTCATTCTGTGTCCATAGACTCTGAAGTTGGAAAGGGGACCCCAAAGGTCATCCAGACCTGCCTCATTCTGTATCCATAGACTCTGAAGTTGGAAAGGGGACCCCAAAGGTCATCCAGACCTGCCTCATTCTGTGTCCATAGACTCTGAAGTTGGAAAAGGGACCCCAAAGGTCATCCAGACCTGCCTCATTCTGTGTCCATAGAATGTTGGAAAGGGGACCCCAAAGGTCATCCAGACCTGCCTCATTCTGTGTCCATAGAATGTTGGAAAGGGGACTCCAAAGATCATCCAGACCTTCCTCATTCTGTGTCCATAGACTCTGAAGTTGGACAGGGGACCCCAAAGGTCATCCAGACCTGCTTTATCCTGTGTCCATAGACTGTAAAGTTGGAAAGGGGACCCCAAAGGTCATCCAGACTTGCCTCATTCTGTGTCCATAGACTCTGAAGTTGGAAAGGGAAACCCAAAGGTAATCCAGACCTGCCTCATTCTGTGTCCATAGACTGTAAAGTTGGAAAGGGGACCTCAAAGGTCATCCAGACCTGCCTCATTCTGTGTCTATAGACTGTAAAGTTGGAAAGGGGACCCCAAAGGTCATCCAGACCTGCCTCATTCTGTGTCCATAGACTGTAAAGTTGGAAAGGGGACCCCAAAGGTCATCCAGACCTGCCTCATTCTGTGTCCATAGACTGTAAAGTTGGAAAGGGGACCCCAAAGGTCATCCAGACCTGCCTCATTCTGTGTCCATAGACTGAAGTTGGAAAGGGGACCCCAAAGGTCATCCAGACCTGCCTCATTCTGTGTCCATAGACTCTGAAGTTGGAAAGGGGACCCCAAAGGTCATCCAGACCTGCTCATTCTGTGTCCATAGACTCTGAAGTTGGAAAGGGGACCCCAAAGGTCATCCAGACCTGCCTCATTCTGTATCCATAGACTCTGAAGTTGGAAAGGGGACCCCAAAGGTCATCCAGACCTGCCTCATTCTGTGTCCATAGAATGTTGGAAAGGGGACCCCAAAGGTCATCCAGACCTGTCTCATTCTGTGTCTATAGACTGTAAAGTTGGAAAGGGGACCCCAAAGGTCATCCAGACCTGCCTCATTCTGTGTCTATAGACTGTAAAGTTGGAAAGGGGACCCCAAAGATCATCCAGACCTGCCTCATTCTGTGTCTATAGACTGTAAAGTTGGAAAGGGGACCCCAAAGGTCACCCAGACCTGCCTCATTCTGGTGTCCATAGACTCTGAAGTTGGAAAGGGGACCCCAAAGGTCATCCAGACAGTAAATAAATAAATCTCAATTTCTAAGCCAAAGAGCCGGCGTTGTCCTTAGACACCGCCAAGGTCGTGTGGCCAGCATGACTGCATGGAGCGCCCTTACCTTCCAGCTAGATCTAGTCACATTTGCATGTTTTTGAACTGCTAGGTTGGCAGAAGCTGGGGCTAACAGTGGGAGCTCACTCCGCTCCCCGGATTCGAACCCGCGACCTTTCGGTCAACAAGTTCAGCAGCTCAGCGGTTTAACCCAGTGTGCCACTGGGAACAAGAAGCCATAGGCGAAAGTGCTATAGGGATACTCGGAGGGTGAACATACTGTGCACATTCTTTGTGAGATGCTCGAGCCATTGCCGCACCGTTGAGTCGCCCATAAGGTAAATGTGCTTCCCTCTCAGACACGTGTTCATCATATAGTCCATGTGGCTGTAAACGGGCAGAGCGCACAAAACGGGGTACCAGTAATTCTGCCAGAAGAAGCCGCTGGGCGACGGGGAGCTCATCCCGAGGGGGCATTTGTTGTCTTTCGGGGTCCTCTCCTTGCCTGGAACAATAGAAGGCAAAGGTGTCTATGGCAGTGGTTCTCAACCTTCCTAAAGGTGGGCATTGACTTTGAGTTTGGGAGTTGTAGTTCACCTTCATCCAGAGAGCATTGTGGATTCAAACAATGATGGATCTGGACCAAATTTGGCAGGAATATTCCATATGCCCAAATATAAACACAGATGGAGTTTGGGGGGAAATAGACCTTGACATTTGGGAGTTGTACTTACTGGGATTTATAGTTCACCAACACTCAAAGAGCATTCTGAACTTCACCAATGATGGAATTGAACCAAACTTGGCACACAGAACTCCCATGACCAACAGATATATACTGGAATGATTTGGTGGGCATTGACTTTGAGTGTGGGAGTTGTAGTTCACCTTCATCCAGAGAGCACTGTGGATTCAAACAATGATGGATCTGGACCGAATTTGGCAGGAATATTCCATATGCCCAAATATAAACACAGATGGAGTTTGGGGGAAAATAGACCTTGACATTTGGGAGTTGTATTTACTGGGATTTATAGTTCACCTACAATCAAAGAGCATTCTGAACCCCACCAACAGAATTGGGCCAAACTTCCCACACAGAACTCCCATGACCAACAGAAAATCCTGTGTTTTCTGATGGTCTTTGGCGACCCCTCTGACACCCCTTTGCGACCCCCACAGGGGTCCCGACCCCCAGGTTGAGAAATGCTGGTCTATGGGCTCATGCAGATGAACATTGGCAGCACAACGTTGTCAGCCATTTTGGATGTGTGTTTAACCCACATACACTTGACCCCGCTTTAACTAGGTGTCAGAATGCCCGATACTCACTTTGACAAGGTAGGACGCGAATCGATCCAAACCGTTTAGAGGTTTCAACTCCAATGTTGGAACTTCAAAGAGGGAGAGAGAGAGAAAAGAGTTATCAAAAGAGCCACTGTTTTAAATATACAATTAAGCAGGCTGAGTCCTGTTTTGTTCTTGTATAAGCGATAAATACAAAGCACAGGGGGTTCTGTTTCGAAGAAAGAAGCTGACTGTGAGGGAAATAAACTGTCAGTTGGAACTTTGTTGCATTCGCTACTGCATGCTTTGAATTAAAGCCTTCCAGCTTTGTTTGTGAGGTCATTGTTTCGCCAGAAAGCTACAGATCCAAATACTGACCAAAGCATCTTTAGGTATTACTTATTTATTATTTATTTATTTACTAGTTGTACCCGGCATGCTTTGCTGTGGCCAACCTTCCCTCTTTTCTCTCCTTCTTGCCCTCCTTCCTTCACTCCCTCTTTATTTCCTTCCTTCCCTTCTTTCCGTCTCTTCTTCCTTCCTTCTCTCTTTCCTTCTTTCCTTCCCTCCCTCTTTCTCTACATCTTCCCCCCTTCCTTTGCTCCCTCTTTCCTTCCTTCTTTCCTTTTTTTATTTCCTTCTCTCCTTCCTTCCTTCTCTAACTTTCCTTCCTTTCCCCTTTTCCTCTCTTTTTTTTGCCCTTCTCCTCTTCCTTCTCTATCTCTTTCCTTCCTTCCCCCTTTTTCTTTCTCTTCTGGTCTCTTTTCCTCCTTCTCTCTTTCCTTCTTTCCTTCCCTCCCTCTTTCTCTACATCTTCCCCCTTCCTTCTCTCCCTCTTTCCTTCCTTCATTCCCTTTTTTCTTTCCTTCTCTCCTTCCTTCCTTCCTTCTTTTTCTTCCCCCGTTTTACTTTCCCTCCCTTTTTCTCTCTTTTTTCTCCCCTTCTTTCCCTCCTTCCTTCCCTTCTTTCTGTCTCTTCTTTCTTTCTTCTCTTTCCTTCTTTCCTTCCCTCCCTCTTTCTCTAGATCTTCCCCCCTTCCTTTGCTCCCTCTTTCCTTCCTTCTTTCCTTTTTTTCCTTTCCTTCTCTCCTTCCTTCCTTCCTTCTCTAAATTTCCTTCCCCCGTTTTACTTTCCCTCCCTTTTCTCTCTTTTTTTCCCCTTCTTCCTCCTTCCTTCCTCCCTCTTTCCTTCCTTCCTTCCCTTCTTTCTTCTCTCTTTCCTTCCTTCTTTCCTTCCCTCCCTCTTTCTCTACATCTTCCCCCCTTCCTTCGCTCCCTCTTTCCTTCCTTCTTTCCTTTTTTTCCTTTCCTTCTCTCCTTCCTTCCTTCTCTAAATTTCCTACCTTCCCTCTTTTCCTTTCCCTCCCTCTTTCTCTCTTTTCTTCTCTACCTCTTTCCTTCCTTCCTTCTCTCTTTGCTTTCATGCTTCCTTCTCCCTTTCCTTGTTTCTTTCCATCCCTCTTCCTTTTCTTTCTTTCTTTCTTTTCTTTCTTTCTTTTCTCCCCTTCCCTCCCTCTTTCTTCCCTTTTTTCTGTATTGTCATTTAGCTTTTCGTCATTTAGTTTTTGGAGGCTTTGTAAGTCCCTTCTGCTGTGTTTTTCAGTGTTTTTATGAGTGAAGGACATACATTGGGTTGTTAGGTGTCTTGTGTCCAAATTTGGTGTCAATTCGTCCAGTGGGTTTTGAATTCTGTTAATCCCACAAACGAACATTACATTTTTATTTAGATGTTATTTCTACCCTGCCCATATCAGCCCCAAATCCTTGTGAAATTCAGAGGTACCCATAATAAATCGATTATAGTAAGGTAAAGATTTTCCCTGATATTAAGTCCAGTCATGTCCGATTCTGGGGGTTGGTGCTCATCTCTATTTCTAAGCTGAAGAGCCAGCATTGTCCGTAGACACCTTCAAGGTCATGTGGCCGGCATGACTGCATGGAGCGCATGCAGAAAGGCAATTCTGTCGTGTCCTCTCTTTCTCGCTGCCCAGAGCAACTACAACTCCCAAATGACAAAATCAAATTTTTTTGAGTGAAGGACATACATTGGGTTGTTAGGTGTCTTGTGTCCAAATTTGGTGTCAATTCGTCCAGTGGTTTTTGAGTTCTGTTCATCCCACAAACGAACATTATATTTTTATTTATATATATAGACTAGCTGTACCCGCCACGCGTTGCTGTGGCCAACCCTCCCTCCCTCTTTCTCTCCTTACTTCCTCTTCCCCTCCTCTTTTTCTTTCCCTATTTCTCTTCTTTCTTCCATCTCTACCTGTTTCTTTCCTCCCTTTCTTTGCTCTTTGGTTACATCCTTCCTTCCTTCCTTCCTTCCTTCCCTATCTTTCGTTCCTTCTCTCCTTCCTTCCCTCTCTTTTTCCTTTCACTTTTTATTTCCTTCTCTCCTTCCTTGCTTCTCTACCTTTCTTTCTTTCCTTCCTTCCCTATCTTTCTTTCCTTCCCTCCTTCCTTCCCTCTCTTTTTCCTTTCACTTTTTTATTTCCTTCTCTCCTTCCTTGCTTCTCTACCTTTCTTTCTTTCCTTCCTTCTTTCCCTCCCTCCTTCTTCTCTCCTTCCTTGCTTCTCTTTCTTTCTTTCTTTCTTTCTTTCCTTCTCTCCTTCCTTCCCTCTCTTTTTCCTTTCACTTTTTTATTTCCTTCTCTCCTTCCTTGCTTCTCTTTCTTTCTTTCTTTCTTTCCTTCCTTCCCTATCTTTCTTTCCTTCCCTCCTTCCTTCCCTCTCTTTTTCCTTTCACTTTTTTATTTCCTTCTCTCCTTCCTTGCTTCTCTACCTTTCTTTCTTTCCTTCCTTCCTTCCTTCCCTATCTTTCTTTCCTTCTTTCCTCCCTTCCCTCTCTTTTTCCTTTCACTTTTTTATTTCCTTCTCTCCTTCCTTGCTTCTCTTTCTTTCTTTCTTTCTTTCTTTCCTTCTCTCCTTCCTTCCCTCTCTTTTTCCTTTCACTTTTTTATTTCCTTCTCTCCTTCCTTGCTTCTCTACCTTTCTTTCCTTCCTTCCTTCTTTCCCTCCCTCCTTCTCTCCTTCCTTCCTTCCACTTTTCCTTCCTTCATTCCTTCCCTCTTTATCTCCTTCTCTTGTTACTTCTTGACTGTCCTATTTAATATTGTATTTACATCTTACATAGAAAGAAGGAAAGGAAGAAGGAAGGAAGGAAGGAGGGACAGGAAGGAAGGAAAAAGAAAGGGAGGGAGGGAAGGAGGAAAACAAGGGAAGGAAGGAAAAGAAAGGAGGGACAAGAAGGAAGGAAGGAGGAGGAGGAGGAAGGAAGGAAGGAAGGAAAATGAAGGAAGAAGGAAGGAAGGAGGGAAAGGAAGGAGGAAGAGAAGGAAAATGAAGGGGAAGAATAAGAAAGGGAAAGAAGGAGGAAAGAAGGGAGGGAGGAAGAAAAGAAGGAAAGGAAGAAGGAAGGAGGGACAGGGGAAGGGAAGGAGGAAAGAAGGAAAGAGAAGGAAGGGAGGGGGAAAGGAAGGAAGGAAGGGAAGGAGGGAGGGAAGGAAATGAAGGGGAAGGAAATAAAGAAAGGGAAAGAAGGAGGAAAGAAAGGGAGGGAGGAAAGAAAAGAAGGAAAGGAAGAAGGAAGGAGGGACAGGAAGGAAGGGAAGGAGGGAAAGAAGGAAAGGAAGGAAAAGGAAGGAAGGAAAGGAAGGAGAATGAAGGAAGAAGGAGGGAAAGGAGGGAGGGAGGGAAGGAAATGAAGGGGAAGGAAATAAAGAAAGGGAAGGAAGGAGGGACAGGAAGGAAGGGAAGGAGGGAAAGAAGGAAGAAGGAAAGGAAGGAAAAGGAAGGAAGGAAAGGAAGGAGAATGAAGGAAGAAGGAGGGAAAGGAGGGAGGGAGGGAAGGAAATGAAGGGGAAGGAAATAAAGAAAGGGAAGGAAGGAGGGACAGGAAGGAAGGGAAGGAGGGAAAGAAGGAAAGGAAGAAGGAAGGAGGGAGAGGAAGGAAGGGAAGAGCAGTTCAGCAGTGGAACTCTCTGCGCCGGAGTGTGGTGGAGGTTCCTTCTTTGGAAACTTTTAAACAGAGGCTGGATGGCCATCTGTCAGGGGTGATTTGAATGCAATATTCCTGCTTCTTGGCAGAATGGGGTTGGACTGGATGGCCCATGAAGTCTCTTCCAACTCTTTGATTCTATGATTCTATAGGAGTGGGAGGAAGGAAGGGAAGGGAGTGAGAGAGAGAAGGAAGGTCCTTCACTCAAACATCATTGACCTTCCTCGCCTCCCTCCTCCTCCTCCTCCTCCTCCTCCTCCCCTTCTTCCTTGCCTGGGGGCTCCACTGCTGCCACTGCCACTCATCCACCCCTTCCTCTTCCAACAGGGAAAGGAGGAGGAGGAGGAGGAGACCGCCCTTCTGACATAGCAGGGAAAGAGAAGGGGCTCCATGCGGCAAGCCTCCACCTCCAATCCCATGGTGCCCACTCTTGCTTGTGTGTGTGTGGTCGTGCACGCATGCCTGGCTCCTCAGTCTTTAACGGCTGGCTGTTTCCTCGCGAGGAGGAGGAGGGGGAGTGGCCATGAAACTCTTTCTGGGTGTTGGGGTTCAGCCTGAGTTTGAACTTGAACCTGATTCTCTGTTTGTTCCTCCTGATGCTAATGAAAGTATATTTACTGATGCTAGTGGAAATGTACCTTTTGATGCCAATGCTCCTGAAATTAGTGAGGAAGAAACTGCTGTAGGTTTGGAAAATGCCAATGTTCCTGAAATTAGTGAGGAAGGAACTTCTGTAGATTTGGAAAATGAAAGTACCAGTGTTCATGAGAATGTTTCAGAGGGAGACCTTGAACTTTCCCTCCCTTCTGAGATTTGGAAAATGAAAGTACCAGTGTTAATGAGAATGTTGCAGAGGGAGACCTTGAACTTTCCCTCCCTTCTGCACCTGTTAACTGTAATGACAACAGAAGGGGCCAAATTTGGGAAGACAGAAGTAAAACACTCAGTTTGCGTCGATCCTCCCGAATTCAAGAATTAAAAACATTGGCTTCAAAACAGAAGGGCGGTTCACGGAACCGATTCTTGAGTTTTAATTGCAATACCCCGAGCTGATTGTCTCAGTTCAGGCATCGTTTCAGAATTGATGAAGACCTTGGCAGTTCTCTCGGTTCCCTGGCCATAGTCTGGGAAGATTTCTAGGATATCAAGTACGGTTAGTGGATTGCTAACAGATTCCAGTATTTTCCCAGTGAGGCTTTTGGTTTTGCTTTGTCCATTTAAATTCATGTTTGCTGATTTTGCTGTGGCTTTTGACTTGCATTTTTCCTTTATTTTGTAACCATTTTTCTTCAATAAAAAGGATTGTTTTTCACAGCCAAGTGTGGTGGATAGTTATCTTAGGGCCTCGTTCCCTGCTCTGGATTGCAACACTGGGTATGCAGTTTCTCCTTTGTGGACATGCAGTTTAGAAGTCCTTTCTGCTTTTTGTTTTCATGGGTTTTTTTTTTTGAGTGAAGGACATGCATTGGGCTGTTAGGTGTCTTGTGTCCAAATTTGGTGCCAATCCCCCCAGTGGTTTTTGAGTTCTGTTAATCCCACAAACGAACATTACATTTTTATTTATATAGATTTGCCGTATTTATATACCGTCCCTCTGAGCCCGGAGGCGATTCGAAGCTCGAGATGAGCACCAGCCTCCAGAGTCGGACACAACTGGACTTAACGTCAGGGGACAACCTTTGCTTTTTCATTGTATCTAATGGGTTGCAACCGTCAACTCCAACCCAGCGGATACCGAGGTCCCACTGCCTTTGAGGGTCTCTATTGTCAGAGGTGCACAGCAGAAGGATTGCTAGATCAGCAGACACTGTGTTTCAAAATAAGGACTCTAGTTACAAAAGAAACTAAGTTTTACTAAGCACATTCAAAAGACACGTCATACTACAGCGAGCTACAAATCAGGAACTAGTCAAAACGAAAGTCTCGTCACATCTGCTTATCTCTTCTTGCTGAGACCAGTTACTCCCTTCTGTTCCTAGCAAGAGCAAACATTATCTTATTTCTCTCAAGGTTACTTAATCACAGCCTCATGGAATAAACATTCTGCACAGCGTTTCTAATACACAGTGGAATCCATCTTGGAAATACACAGAAGCACATTTAAAACACATACATAACTAAATTAATCCTGACATCTATGAGAGCCAAATACCTGTGCAAAATACTCCGCTCCAAGTAAGTGAGGTGGGAGACCTTGGTGTTGGAGGACTTGAGCCCGACGAAGGCTTGGCAGGAGATGTTCTTGGGCTTCAGGCAGTAGAAGGCCTCTTGGTCGCGTCGGTCTAGATATTCGCACAGCTCTTCATTTGGGATCCTTTCCATGGAGCATTTGGTCGAAACCCTGGCTGTCCCGTTCAAGAAGATGCCCGTGAAGGTAATTCTGTCGTAGCCTCTCTTCCTCGCTGCCCAGAGCGCCGAGACCCCTTCACTGGGATGGAAGAGTAAGATGGAGACCCTCACCTCCCCTTCCCAGAGTAAGGGGAAGCGGATCAAGTACGTCCCGTTGCCAAAGTCTTGGATGTTCCCACTGGCTCCGGCCCTGAGGTACGGGGAGAAGATCCTGGCCCTCAAGAAGTCTCCTCCGTGGGTCTTTCTCTGTCTTGACTGGTCAAACATGTCCAGCCGGACCATCAGCTGCTCCCCAAGACAGTAGGCCGCCTTGGGGTTGTACAACCTGGCCCAGCTCGGGTGAGCGTTGGAGACGGCCCCGAGGTTGGGCAAAGGCACCCGGGGGAAGCGCCGGTCCAGTTTGGCCACCAGCTCTTGGACTTCTCGCTCCTTTTGGGCCTGAGCCTGGCTTAGAGGGGCATCTCCGCTGGGAAAAATGTTCCTCCTGCCATCTTGGATTGAAAGATTAAAAATATATTCTGAATAATGGATAGATAAATAAGGATAGAACAGATATGGGCAAACTCTGGCCCTTCGGGTGTTTTGGACTTCAACTCCCACAATTCCTAACAGCCTACTGGCTGAGGCTGTCAAGAGGGAAAAGGAAAGGGACTGTGGCTGGCGAGAGGGAAAAGGAAAGAGACTGAGACTGTCGAGAAGGAAAAGGAAAGGGACTGAGGCCCTCGAGAAGGAAAAGGAAAGAGACTGAGACTGTCGATAAGGAAAAGGAAAGAGACTGAGTCTGTCGAGAGGGAAAAGGAAAGGACTGAGGCTGTCAATAGGGAAAAGGAAAGGGACTGAGGCTGTCGAGAGGGAAAAGGAAAGGGACTGAGGCTGTCGAGAGGGAAAAGGAAAGGGACTGAGGCTGTCGAGAGGGAAAAGGAAAGGGACTGAGGCTGTCGAGAGGGAAAAGGAAAGGGACTGAGGCTGTCGAGAGGGAAAAGGAAAGGGACTGAGGCTGTCGAGAGGGAAAAGGAAAGGGACTGAGGCTGTCGAGAGGGAAAAGGAAAGGGACTGAGGCTGTCGAGAGGGAAAAGGAAAGGGACTGAGGCTGTCGAGAGGGAAAAGGAAAGGGACTGAGGCTGTCGAGAGGGAAAAGGAAAGGGACTGAGGCTGTCGAGAGGGAAAAGGAAAGGGACTGAGGCTGTCGAGAGGGAAAAGGAAAGGGACTGAGGCTGTCGAGAGGGAAAAGGAAAGGGACTGTGGCTGTCGAGAGGGAAAAGGAAAGGGACTGAGGCTGTCGAGAGGGAAAAGGAAAGGGACTGAGGCTGTCGAGAGGGAAAAGGAAAGGGACTGAGGCTGTCGAGAGGGAAAAGGAAAGGGACTGTGGCTGTCGAGAGGGAAAAGGAAAGGGACTGAGGCTGTCGAGAGGGAAAAGGAAAGGGACTGAGGCTGTCGAGAGGGAAAAGGAAAGGGACTGAGGCTGTCGAGAGGGAAAAGGAAAGGGACTGAGGCTGTCGAGAGGGAAAAGGAAAGGGACTGAGGCTGTCGAGAGGGAAAAGGAAAGGGACTGAGGCTGCCGGGGGGAAAGGAAAGGGACTGAGGCTGTCGAGGGGGAAAAGGAAAGGGACTGAGGCTGCCGAGGAGGGAAAGGAAAGGGACTGAGGCTGTCGAGAGGGAAAAGGAAAGGGACTGAGGCTGTCGAGAGGGAAAAGGAAAGGGACTGAGGCTGTCGAGAGGGAAAAGGAAAGGGACTGAGGCTGTCGAGAGGGAAAAGGAAAGGGACTGAGGCTGTCGAGAGGGAAAAGGAAAGGGACTGAGGCTGTCGAGAGGGAAAAGGAAAGGGACTGAGGCTGTCGAGAGGGAAAAGGAAAGGGACTGAGGCTGTCGAGAGGGAAAAGGAAAGGGACTGAGGCTGTCGAGAGGGAAAAGGAAAGGGACTGAGGCTGTCGAGAGGGAAAAGGAAAGGGACTGAGGCTGTCGAGAGGGAAAAGGAAAGGGACTGAGGCTGTCGAGAGGGAAAAGGAAAGGGACTGAGGCTGTCGAGAGGGAAAAGGAAAGGGACTGAGGCTGTCGAGAGGGAAAAGGAAAGGGACTGAGGCTGTCGAGAGGGAAAAGGAAAGGGACTGAGGCTGTCGAGAGGGAAAAGGAAAGGGACTGAGGCTGTCGAGAGGGAAAAGGAAAGGGACTGAGGCTGTCGAGAGGGAAAAGGAAAGGGACTGAGGCTGTCGAGAGGGAAAAGGAAAGGGACTGAGGCTGTCGAGAGGGAAAAGGAAAGGGACTGTGGCTGTCGAGAGGGAAAAGGAAAGGGACTGAGGCTGTCGAGAGGGAAAAGGAAAGGGACTGAGGCTGTCGAGAGGGAAAAGGAAAGGGACTGAGGCTGTCGAGAGGGAAAAGGAAAGGGACTGAGGCTGTCGAGAGGGAAAAGGAAAGGGACTGAGGCTGTCGAGAGGGAAAAGGAAAGGGACTGAGGCTGTCGAGAGGGAAAAGGAAAGGGACTGAGGCTGTCGAGAGGGAAAAGGAAAGGGACTGAGGCTGTCGAGAGGGAAAAGGAAAGGGACTGAGGCTGTCGAGAGGGAAAAGGAAAGGGACTGAGGCTGTCGAGAGGGAAAAGGAAAGGGACTGAGGCTGCTGAGGAGGCAAAGGAAAAGATCCTTACCCGAAACTGCTGGAGTGACGCCATGCCTCCCGAAAGCTTTGATAATTTTCTTGAGCGTGCAAGGAAAAAGTAACACAAGACATTCACAACGCTGCAGTAGCGGGTTGTTACACTTTTACTCAATTACACTTTTTCTATTACTACCTCATCCAGGGTTTGATCATTTTACCTCGCCTTGAGAAACTACAACTCCCACGATCCCATAACATTGAGTGGTTTAAGTGGTGTCCAGAAAGCGGATAGGCCAGCGGTTCTCAACCTTCGTAATGCTGCGACCCCTTAATGCAGTTCCTCATGTTGTGAGGTGCCTTGAGAAACTACAACTCCCACAATCCCATTACATTGAGTGGTTTAAGTGGTGTCCAGAAAGCGGATAGGCCAGTGGTTCTCAACCTTCCTTCCCCCCTTCTTCTTCTCTTTCGTTCCTTCTCTCCTTCCTTCCCTCTTTCAATTTTTATTTCATTCTCTCCTTCCTTCCTTCTCTACCTTCTCTACCTTTCTTTCTTTCCTTCTCTCCTTCTTTCCCTCTTTCCCGCCCTTCTTCTTTCCTTCTCTACCCTTCTTTCCTTCCTTCTCTCCTTCTTCCTCTTCTCTCCTTCTTCCCTTCTTGTCTTCTCTCCTTCCTTCCTTCTCTAACCTTCTTTCTTTCCTTCCCTCTTTCCTTCCCTCCTTCTTTCTCTCCCTCCTTCTCTCCTTCCCTCCTTCTTTCTCTTCTCTCCCTCTTTCACTCCTGTCTTCTCTCCTTCCTTCCTTCCTTCCTTCCTTCCTTCCTTCCTTCCTTCCTTCCTTCCTTCCTTCCTTCCTTCCTTCCTTCTCTAGCCTTTTTTCTTTCCTTCCTTCTCTCTTTCCCTCCTTCTTTCCCTCTCTCTCTCCTTCTCTCCTTCCTTCCTTCTCTACCCTTCTTTCCTTCCTTCTCTCCTTCCCTCCTTCTTTCTCTTCTCTCCCTCTTTCTCTCCTGTCTTCTCCCCGTCCTTCCTTCTCTAACCTTTTTTCTTTCCTTCCTTCTCTCTTTCCCTCCTTCTTTCCCTCTTTCTCTCCTTCCATCTCTCCTTCCCTCCTTCTTTCTCTTCTCTCCCTCTTTCTCGCCTGTCTTCTCTCCTTCCTTCCTTCTCTAGCCTTTTTTCTTTCCTTCCTTCTCTCCTTCCCTCCTTCTTTCTCTTCTCTCCCTCTTTCTCGCCGGTCTTCTCTCCTTCCTTCCTTCCTTCTCTAGCCTTCTTTCTTTCCTTCCTTCTCTCTTTCACTCCTTCTTTCCCTCTTTCTCTCCCTCCTTCCTTCCTTCRCTACCCTTCTTTCCTTCCTTCTCTCCTTCCCTCCTTCTTTCTCTTCTCTCCCTCTTTCTCTTCTGTCTTCTCACCGTCCTTCCTTCTCTAACCTTTTTTCTTTCCTTCCTTCTTTCTTTCCCTACTTCCTTCCCTCTTTCTCTCCCTCCTTCTCTCCTTCCTTCCTTCTCTACCCTTCTTTCCTTCCTTCTCTCCTTCTCTCCTTCCCTCCTTCTTTCTCTTCTCTCCCTCTTTCTCGCCTGTCTTCTCTCCTTCCTTCCTTCTCTAGCCTTCTTTCTTTCCTTCCTTCTCTCTTTCACTCCTTCTTTCCCTCTTTCTCTCCCTCCTTCTCTCCTTCCTTCTCTACCCTTCTCTCCTTCCTTCTCTCCTTCCCTCCTTCTTTCTCTTCTCTCCCTCTTTCTCTCCTGTCTTCTCTCCTTCCTTCCTTCCTGCCTTCCTTCTCGAACCTTCTTTCTTTCCTTCCTTCTCTCTTTCCCTCCTTCTTTCTCTCTTTCTATCCCGCCTTCTCTTCTAATGCCGCAACCCCTTAATACAGTTCCTCATGTTGCGAGGTGCCTTGAGAAACTACAACTCCCACAATCCCATAACATTGAGTGGTTTAAGTGGTGTCCAGAAAGCGGATAGGCCAGTAGTTCTCAACCTTCCTAATGCCACGACCCCTTGATACAGTTCCTCATGTTGTGGTGACCCCCAACCATAATAAATATCTGATATGCAGGATTCACTGGACCAAATTTGGCACAAATACCTGACAACTACAACTCCCAAATGACAAAATCAATCCCCCCCCCCCCCAACCTCACCAGTATTCATATTTATTGATCTGGACCAAACTTGGTGCAGATACTCAAAATGCCCAACTGTCAACACTGGTGAAGTTTGAGGAAAATAGAACTTGTCATTTGGGAGTTGTAGTTGCTGGGATTTATAGTTCACCTACAATCAAAGAGTATTCTGGATTCCACCAGCGATGGAATTGAACCAAACTTGGCACACTGGACTCCCATGACCAACAGAAAATACTGGAAGGGTTTGGTGGGCATTGACCTTGAGTTTGGGAATTGTAGTTCACCTACATCCAGAGACTCAAACAATGATGGATCTGGACCAAACCTGGCACAGATACTCGATATGTCCAAATGTGAACATTAGTGGAGTTTGGGGGAAATAGAATCTTGACATTTGGGAGTTGTAGTTGCTGGGATTAATAGTTCACCTACAATCAAAGAGCATTCTGAACTCTACCAACGATGGAATTGAACCAAATTTGGCACACAGAACTCTCAAGAGCAACAGAAAATACTGGAAGAGTTGGGTGGGCATTGACCTTGACTTTTTGGAACTGTAGTTCACCTGCCTCTATAGAGCATTGTGGATTCAAACAATTATGGATCTGGACCAAACTTGGTACAAATACTCAATATGCCCAAATGTGAACACTGGTGGAGTTTGGGGAAAATAGACCCTGACATTTGGGAGTTGTCGTTGCTGGGATTTATAGTTCACCAACAATCAATGAGCACTCTGAACTCCACCAACGATGGAATTGAACCAGATTTGGTACACAGAACTCCCATGAGCAATAGAAAATACTGGAAGGGTTTGGTGTGCATTGTCCTTGAGTTTTGGAATTGTAGTTCACCTGCCTCCAGAGAGCACTGTGGACTCAAACAATGATGGATCCAAACCAAACTTGGTATGAATACTCAATATGCCCAAATGCGAACACTGGTGCGGTTTGGGGAAAATGGACCTTGACATTT